GGAAATATTCTCCATCAGTGAGCGTTCAGGAACATGTACAGTTCAGCATCTGCTCATATCAACACATAACCAACACATCCCTGAGCTCTCTACAACATCTCCTGAGCGCCTCAGAAATACAGCAACATGAAGATCAACACATTATGGTGAAGTTACTGAGAGAGAGTTTTACCTGCTCGCGTCTCCTGAAGAGTGTGACGCCACTGCAGAACCAGCAGGAGTTTATGACCGAGAGAGCCACACCTCTCTCACACACACACACACACGGTTCATTCATGCACACTTTCATTGATACAGCTCTGTCACTGGCGCACACACACACACACACACACACACAGTCAGAGCGTCTGCTCGATGCGTCTCAACATGTCAGACCTCAAACAGACAGACAGAAGGAAATCTGGAAATCTGCCCCCAAACAAACATTTCCCACCGCACAGTGTATTATGCATGTTTTCCTTTTCATATATCATACATCCTTCTGCTATATTTTACACCTGTTAACAGTCTCTGCTAAATGTCCTTCGTGTTTTCATATTCAGCATCTTAAGCTGCAGTTACTGCATGAAAGGGGCTGTGGAAATATAAGGTTTTATTATTAACTTTGAAGAATTAATTGCAGAAATTGCAACCGCTCTGGATCCACACACACAACTGTCACATTTCATCTAATATGATATTAATTTTGTATTGTCATAACGAGCAGACGTTGTTATTGTGTCTGTGTAACTGAACAAACAAGCATTTCTCTAAACATGTCAAACTATATGTACTGTGAAAACACTAAACAAATAAACTTGAATTGAATTATTAATAAAATAGCATCATCATTCCTATTTATAATTTTTAAATATATTATTACAGTTTTTTACAATCACTTTGCCACTATTTTCAGAACCTTGATGTCATTTTTCACAACTCTAGACACAAAACTCACAGCGGTTATCACTTGTAACACAGGCTGTCTAATGTTCAAAACACTGCATTGTGCATTCACGCACTTGCACAATCATTGATTCAAAAAACAAATTTACTGTGAAATACCATTGAAACACAACTATAGATCACACACACACACGCATAGTTTCACTGTGTCATTGTTCGTACAATCATTAAATATTGTAGAACACAAAAGGTGATCCAGGTTTCATTATGGTCTACATGTACAGTAACACATCTCTGTAACAGCACTGCAGTCGTAGAGAGAATACACACATAGTGGAATCACTGAACAAAGTGTGTAATATAGTGATGCAAAACACTACAGTGCAATCACAACACAGGTTTATTGGAATCAAAGCAAAAATATGAAATATTACAGTAGGCTACATCCATGGATATTGTAGTCTAATTGGTCCATGCTCCACGCTAATTGGTGACAATGAATCTCGATATCTTAAAACTGTCATGATTTACTGTAAACATGGAAGATTGTGTGTGTGTTTCCACACAAAAATGCACATTTTTCAAAACTCTAACCCTTTTCTCGATTGCTTGGATACAATACACATAAAGCTTAGATAATTTGTTCATTCAACACAAATCCCCTGTTCAATATGACACAACTTAACATCACAGTACGACTATTTCTAAAGGCAAATCACACATTACATTTCAAATGAGTGTCTATTCATTTCCTTCAGTGATCTAACTATCCACTGACACAACTGCTCAACATGATAAGGAACTGTTGCGTTACTCTTAATGTGGAAAACACACACACAATCTTCCATGTTTACAGTAAATCATGACAGTTTTAAGATAACGAGATTCATTGTCACCAATTAGCGTGGAGCATGAACCAATTAGACTACAATATCCATGGATGTAGCCTACTGTAATATTTCATATTTTTGCTTTGATTCCAATAAACCTGTGTTGTGATTGCACTGTAGTGTTTTGCATCACTATATTACACACTTTGTTCAGTGATTCCACTATGTGTGTATTCTCTCTACGACTGCAGTGCTTTCACAGAGATGTGTTACTGTACATGTAGGACCATAATGAAACCTGGATCACCTTTTGTGTTCTACAATATTTAATGATAATTTTGATCATTGGTTGTGAGTTTTGTGACTAGAGTTGTGAAAAATAGAGTTGTGAAAAATGACATCAAGGTTCTGGAAATAGTAACAAAGTGATTGTATTATTAATTACTGTTTTTGTTTTGTTTTCAGTTACTGTTTTGATTGTCATATTCATTTCCGTATGTTACTTTAGTGAAAACTATGTTTCGGTGGAGGCTTTTAATCTCTTCACTGCCTCTTCCTGCAAAGTAAAAAATGAGTTAATTCTAATGAGAGAAAGTGAGCAGAAGAAGACAGAACTGTAGACGAGACCGACGGCAACAAACACACACCGTTTCCACAAACACACACTGTCAACATGTTCAAACCTGATAGACATCTGACATATCTGAAGCACTTCCAGCTGTGTGCGTGTGTGTGTGTGTGTGTGTGTGTGTGTGTGTGTGTGTGTGTGTGTGTGAGTGTGTGTG